ATGCATAGGTAAGTCCAACCTATTTTTTTTTTTGCACACGACCCTAATTTTTTTTTGCACACGGTCCTTACAGTATAGTGTAACAGGTATAAAAGAAAACGCAGGTAAAAGGTATATTTTTGCACACGACCCTAAATAAGGGTGTGCTTATATGAATGTAAGTTAGAGACAACAGATCACATAAGTATTACACAGTAATTAAATTAACCATATAATCATGCTTAAATGCAAAGATGACCTTCATAGGAAATGTAAAAATTAAAAAACAAGAAAAACTTACCAGAGATATCCAACTATATGCCCAATAAGCCTATCCATTAAATAATCCAGTGAAATAACATCTCAGCTGATCCTGAAAAAATCATACAATTCAGTGATACACAAATTAACCTCATTTTACAATGTAAGTAAAGCAATAATTTACAGACAAAAGGGACAGAAATGTAAATGTATGTAGTTTCATTGTGAATAAAAATACCCTTGTTCTTGTTATTGTGTGTTCTTGTCTTTCAGTAAAAAAATCCAGTTTGAAACTGGTTAGGTTAGGCTGAGCTATAGACTGTGAATGAAAAGTGTGACGTCATAATCACATTCTGGAAATGTTTTTTGCACACGGCGCATTTACCTGTGCAGTTAGCATAAACAAAACGTAGTACCAACGTTGTGAATCGTAGTAGCAGCGTATAGTAAAAAAACTATATACAGTGTAAACACAGTGTAAGCGGGCCCCCCTGTATTTAAGGGATAGGATAGGTTAGGGTTAAAAGGGGTTAGGGATAGAGGCCTAAGGGGAAATTAGGGATAGTTAGGGTTAGGGGATAGGGTTAAGGGAAATTAGGGTTAGTTTCACTTTTGTTTCTTGGTAATGAGGTTTTCAAAAAATGAAGCTAGACTGTGAATGAATGCGTGACGTCATAATGACATTCTTGAAATGTTTTGCACACGGCCCCAAAGTATTTTACCTGTATAGTTAGCATAAACAAAACGTAGTACCAACGTACCAATGTAAACACAATGTAAACAACCCCGTATTTAGGGGATAGGATAGGTTAGGGTTAAAAAGGGGTTAGGGTTAGAGGGTTAAGGGGGATAGGGTTAGTTAGGGCTAGGGGGGTTAGGGTTAGTTAGAGCTAGGGGGTTAGGGTTAGTGTAAGGGTTAGGGTTAGTTAGGGTAAGGGGGCTAGGGTTAAGGGGATTAGGGTTAAGGTTAGGGGCTAGGGTTAGTTAGGGTTAGTTAGGGCTAGGGGGTTAGGATTAGGGTTAGTTAGGGTTAGGGGGTTAGGGTTAGTTAGGGTTAGTTAGGGCTAGGGGTTAGGGTTAGTTAGGGTTAGGGTTAGGGCTAGGGGGTTAGGGTTAGGGTTAGTTAGGGTTAGGACTGCACTCCCTTGACCCACCTATCCCCCTCAACCAATCAGAACTGATCACGTGATTTCTCTCAGCCAATCAGAATGCAGTCCTATCGGGGCGCCTTATACTACTATGAAATTTTTCTTCCAGTGACCTTGAAGTTCCCAAAATGACCTTGGGTCAAGGTCATGGCACTACCTTAGGTCATAGGCAATCTTTTCTTGAAATGACAACCTACCAATTTTAACCATAAGAAAGATATGGACCGGACATGAATTATGAAATTTTTCTTCCAGTGACCTTGAACTTCCCACAAATGACCTTGGGTCAAGGTCATGACACACCCTTTGGTCATGGGCAATCTTTGTGTGAAATAAGAACCTACCAAGTTTATCCATAAGAAAGATAAAGACCGGACATGAATTATGAAATTTTTTCTTCCAGTGACCTTGAACTTTCCCAAATGACCTTGGGTCAAGGTCATGACACACCTTTAGGTCATGAGCAATCTTTGTGTGGAGTAGAAGATTCTAATGTCCCTCTGTAAGAAAGATATGGACCGGACACGATTGTACAGACAGACGGACAGCTAGACAGACAGACGGACAAGGTGATTCCTATATACCCCCCCAAACTTCGTTTGAGGGGGGTATAAAAATGGTTTTAGAGGATGAAGTAAATAAGGGGAAAAACTAATGTATTAAATTGATTAATGCTGGAAAGCATGGCTATATGTAAAGGTTACATAAATTAGATTCAACTGCATACAGCATAGCCTTTGAGGAAAACAGCTGAAAATATGATAACTACAAGAAATTGGGAATCGTAACGGTTATGATGTTTACTTGTTTGTTGGGTATGCCAGAGCATCAAAGATAGTTGGAAATGTGGGATAAATAAAGCCCTATACCCTATATGCTTAAAGGACCCAACAAACTTGATGGCGATATATGAATGGCTACAGGCGATGATTCAGGAAGTTTTTCCCAGGGACAGCCAATAGACTTATGAAAGTGTCCTCTCACATTTCAGGATTGAGAAAGTTTATTACTTTTTTGCTCGTACAGATATTTTTGATGTGGACCCCTCACCCCTTAGGCACGTAGCAACGGGGGGGGGGGGGGGGGGGGGGTTGGGCCCCCCCCCCCCCACTTTTTTTCCAACATTACTTTTACTACAAGTGTATTGGAAATGTTCATTGAAAGGCTGGTTCCCCCCCCCCCCACACACACACACACACTTTATACCACAGGAAGTTGATATTAGGGAAATGAATGCCAAAAAAATGTTAGTGAAAGAAGTTGGCATTGAAAAAAGTTTTTTTTCTCTGGCTGCCCCCCCCCCATTCCAAAACGATGCTACTTCTCTGTTTTCGTAGGAGAAAACCACCTGGAAAGGGGGGGCAGGGTTATGATCAGATGTATATTTGGCCAGTATATCCTCTAAGAGGTTTTTGTTCGTTTCGTTTTTATTATTTTAAATCATGTAACTTCTAACTCACTTCACAATATCACCAATATGTTTTTTTTTTCCAAAGCTCGACCAGGCTTCCGACAAAAGGAACATACTTTATATAATCCATGCAGTATTCATTTTCATTCAAAAGAATAATCCAGGAAAAGGGCGCAAAAACTTACACGTGACATTTTGGCCCGAAATGATTGTGTCATCCCTTACCTAGAAGACAAATGGACTAATCCAGTAGCATAGAAACGCAGAAAAAAGGTCAAACGGACATAGGTCCGTATAAGAATTCGCATGAAATAAATAGCTGCTAGCAAAAAGCTAAAGGAAATAAATACATCAATGTATTGTACCAGCAATGTGGTTATTTTTCTGCTCTTTGTTGCTGAAACGCATGTAAAACCAGAAGTCTCTGTCGAGACTGAAGCTCTACTGGTTTGTACTTATAGCAAAAGAAGAGAAAAGTACTTAGGCAGTTGGGAATTGAAACTTTTCAACAGCAATTGATAGAAAAATGATCCTTGATTTAGTCTCTTTATGTTTTAGTGTAGTCTACTTGCATGCCACATTACATTATAATCAGACTAAAACTGTATTTGGAGTAGAATTTTGAGTGTAATAAACAGAAATTTCTATTTTTAGTAACCGTGGCAACACCGTTCATTGAAGTGAAAAACTATACACAGAATTATGTACCTTAGTGTAGTCTACTTGTGTGCCAAGTTATATTGAAATCAGACCAAAACTGTAGGAGGTGTAGCATTTTGAAATAATTTCACAGAAATTTCTATTTTTAGTAACCACAGCAACACCGTTCATCGAAATCAAAAACCGATATACAGAATTATGTATCTTAGTGTAGTCTACTTGTGTGCCAAGTTACATTGAATTCAGACCAAAACTGTAGGAGGAGTAGCATTTTGAAAGAATTTCACGGAAATTTCTATTTTTAGAAGCACGTCAACACAGTTCATCGAAATCAAAAATTGATAAATAGATTTATGTAACTTAGTGTGTTCTACTTGTGTGTCAAGTTATATTGAAATCAGACCAAAACTGTAGGAGGAGTAGCATTTTGAAAGAATTTCACAGAAATTTCTATTTTTAGTAACCACGGCAACACCGTTCATCCAAATCAAAAACCGATAAACAGAATTATGTATCTTAGTGTAGTCTACTTGTGTGCCAAGTTATACTGAAATCAGACCAAAACTGTAGGAGAAGTAGCATTTTGAAAGAATTTCACGGAAATTTCTATTTTTAGTAACCACGACAACACCGTTCATCCAAATCAAAAACCGATACACAGAATTATGTATCTTAGTGTAGTCTACTTGTGTGCCAAGTTATATTGAAATCAGACCAAAACTGTAGGAGGAGTAGCATTTTGAAAGAATTTCACGGAAATTTCTATTTTTAGTAACCACGGCAACACCGTTCATCGAAATCAAAAACCAATACACAGAATTATGTATCTTAGTGCAGTCTACTTGTGTGCCAAGTTATATTGAAATCAGACCAAAACTGTAGGAGGAGTAGCATTTTGAAAAATTGTTTACAGACGGACAGACAGACAGCTTGACAGACGGACGGACGACGGACGCATTACTATCGCATAAGCTCTTCTGGTCTCTGACCAGTAGAACTAAAAATCCGATGATAATCAGCATGCACAAAATTTTGCTGGCTAACTGTGACCTCTTAGCTTCGCATTGAACTAGGAAATATTGATCCTTAGTAGTGCCTTACGCCAAAATGTCAGGCAATTAAAACCATATGGGAGCCAGGGGGTATGATATACTGTAAATCACTTTTTATTTGCGAGAACTTTATTTTCGCGTAATTACGCGAGACAGCGTGCTCGCGAAAATTTATTTCTCGCTTATATAATAGCATTCCTTAAGATTATATAGAGCAATAACCACAATTCGTGAAAATTTTGTCTCGCTAATCAAGAGTCAATGACTATCTCGCGAAAATAAGGTGTCGCAAAAATTTAGTGATCTACAGTAGTGAGCTCATTGCTCACAGTAGCTAATTTATACACAATAAAATCATGTTGTTTGTTCATACTGGTAACTCGAACTAGTTTTGCTGCCATTGCAGAAGGAGCAGCAATCAAACATCTTCAAATACACTGTATCAATTTTACTTATTATACACTGAACTTCATATTAAGAACACCACACTTTAACTGATTTTTTTTATTGACACATTAGAATTTTTTGAATCCCTTCTTGTTGTTGGCCCCGCCCTTGGCGACCTTCAGTACGTTGAAGCGGACAGTCTTACTGAGTGGTCGACATTCTCCCACCGTTACAATGTCTCCAATCTCAACGTCCCTACAAAATCACACAAAGCATTTAATTCACAATATGTAACAGGCAAAAACATTTATATATACACACCAAATATGTATCTAATCACTCACTGATTTCACAATTGTATCTGACAAAACATATTGATTATTCTACTCAACTACTTTTAATTCTATACCCCCTCTTGAAAAGAAATTTATTAATTTAATACTAATTTTAATCCCTCCTCATCAAGTTGTAACACAATCTCTTCAAATTTCTGACACTTCCAATCAAATACTAAAACCACATCAAATTCAGACAAAAATTTGACAGTCACATTGAGCATCTTTCAAGGTAATACCAGGTATATGAAACAAGGGACCATATTCCTCTCAACAAGAGAACTTTGTAAGCATATAAAATTTTGAGGAAATGCATATTATACTGAAACTGTGACAGATTTCTTATTAAGAGATTATTCATATCATATCCAGAAATTACAGTTAATGTCCTACATTTGTAACATGCAAGAGCTAGAAAAGAGGCCCATGGGCCACATCGCTCACCCGAGTAGCATTGGCCATGCTGTATTTTACCACATTTCTCCCATTCTAATACTTATTGTGACCCTACCCTTCCTCCATGGGTCATGATTTGGACAATTTAAAATCTATGCTACCCTAGGATGTTTCTACGTAAATTTCAGCTTTTCTTGCCCAGTGATTCTTGAGAAGATTATTTAATGACCCCAACCTATTTTGGTCTTTTCTTGATCATCTCCCTTTGGAAGGGGAATTGGCCCTTTATTTTAATAATTTAAACACCCATTCCCTCAATGATGCTTTAGAAAAATTGGCCCCGTGTTTCTTGAGAAGAAATTGAAAAAGTGAAATGTTTACATATGGATCAACAGACAGACGACGGACATCGTGTGATCAGAAACCTCAACCTCACTTGAGCTTTCAGCTCAGGTGATTATTTAAGGAATGAATTCAAGAGCTATCCAAGTTTACACTGTGTAATCTGGGTTGAGGCAGTTTACCCTTTATATACCTTGAAGAGGATTTGAGAACAAGCACTACTGTTTTTTTACAATGGGAAAATACTAGCTGCATGACTGTAGCTCTGTATACTGCATTTTGGTTTGCAAGATAATTCAGTCTAATAATAATACAAACTTGCACAGATGTAAACTATGTGAGTACTTGATAGAGGAGTAAGGAATTTTTTAAAGTCTTGCTTTTTTTGCAATTGAGGTAAAAATTTGAAAGAATTAATCCTGAACCAAGCGCACTTTTTGTGCGCAATAAATATACAGTTTTTTTCAATGGATGGCACTGTAGCTCTCCGGTCTGTCAATATACGAGGGGTTATCAAAAAGTTCGTGGACTGAGGCTATAAAATTTGTACTATGTAGTCTGTGCTTTCAAAATTTAAATGGAACATAAAACAATAAAAAAATTAAGAAATGCTGAAAATTTTAGCCGTATACATTTATTATTTGCCAAATTATTATAATTTGAAAACGACATTATATGATCACCCGGCGCTGTCATCGTTTATTTTCATGACGTCCGATAACGTCATTGTTTTTTCTATGGCCGCTTCTTATACCTCATACAATTTTTTGATGAGATTCCCTGGAGCAGAGTAAGGACTTAAACCCGCCTTGTTTATATGACATTACAATGTCATGAACAGTGGCCTTTAATGAATATAATATTCCAAATGGATTAATACATTGGGAGAGATCCGCACAAGATTGTGCCGGCATATTTTGCTTTTGGGAGTTCAATGTCCACAACACATGATCAAAGTCATTGTTTGACGTGATTGATTTTTCACACCTTGACTGCAAATCGACATTATCTGTGTATCCCTTTTCTCTCTGAATCTATCTTGACATTAAAAGACAAGTACCCTGGATGCATATTATTTTTCTGTAGCCAGTTTCAAGATATTTTAGGTCTATACCAATTTTTTTAGGGACAAAACTTTATAGAATGTTAGAAACGGAAACCCCTCCCCCCTTTTGACGTCATTTTCAAGGCCTCATTTGTTTGGACATTCCGTGAAAATTCGTGATAAAATTTCATAGTACTTCTGGAATGAAGTGAAAATTTTATATTTTATGGAACAATTGTGTCCCGACACAAACCTGAATTAACGGGATTTTTGGATGTCAAATGATCATATCAAACGAGTTTTTCTCAGTTACACATAGGTCGCAAAAACGTCGCGTTTGAGGTTGCGCCGCCTGGACATTCCATTGCTTACAAAAACATTACTTACAGGGATTTTCCACTCACTTTTGGGAATGGGGCCCAGGCCCTTGAAATTGGGAATTTAACGACATTTTTTATCATTAATTGGGAAATTTTATTATACGATGTTTTTCAAGAAATAAATACTTAAGAAGAATAAAATTGATCTTTTACTTAGTTATTCAGAACTATGAATCAGAGAAGTGATCATTATGATAAAGTTTTACCCAAGTTTCTTAAAATTTTGTTCATTTCACTCAAATTTCCAACCCTGAACATGATTGTATTTTGTGAATTATGATCAAGTTAACCTCCGCAGTTCTTCTGCATTCAAAAATTGAACACATCAGTACATTTTTGGGAAAAAGGGAAGGGTTTTGCAATTGGGAATGGGGCCCATATTCGGCCCTACACGGGGTAGTGGAAAATCCCTGACTTATTTATTAGAAATAAAATTTATGATTTATGGTTTATTCTTTAGATAGAAAAGATGATGCTTACTAGATATTTTAAAATTCATCGATGTGCCTAAAGCGGTTTTAATTTTATGACGCTAGTCCACGAACTTTTTGATAACCCCTCGTATTTTTGTCAGAGAGCTACAGTTCTGCAGCTAGGAAAATACATGATTACATGTTTGTTTTAGTTACCTGAAGCATGGGCTAAGGTGCACAGACATATTCTTGTGACGTTTCTCGAATCTTTTGTATTTTTTAACGTAGTGCAGATAATCCCTGCGAATGACAATCGTCCTCTGCATCTTCATTTTTTGTACGACTCCTGTCAGAATGCGACCACGGATGGACACATTTCCTGTGAAGGGACACTTCTTGTCAATGTAAGTTCCAAGAATGGCCTAAAAGTACAAGTTCAAAAGCCATTTGAGAGATAACTACTATGTACAGTCCAAAATGCATCAAAACAATAAAATTAACACACAATCATTCTTTCATAATGATCTGCAATACAAGAAAGATTTTTCCAGTGGCAGTTTGTTCTATCTGCATTACTTTTTGATACTTGAGTCTCTGGACACAAACAGTACATATGCTACGTGGCAAAGATTTTCCTCTTAGATATCAAAAATAGGCTGTAAATCAGCTTTAAAGTCTATTTTGAAAAGTATGTCAACTGTCATGTTCAAAGTAGGGCTGAAACGATACACCCCCTCCAGGATACGATACGTATTGCAATACTTGTGTCACAATTCAATTTTTTCGATACGATACAATTTTAAAAAGAAACAGATCATTAGGTTAAAGAAAACATGTATTCAGATTCCAAGAAATACATAAAAGGTGGTGATACAAAAAGAAAACACTTCTTGTGCTTCTGTCGATTAAAAAAGCACAATGTCTGTGTCAATTCTAGCAGTGGCAGCCTGCTCTAAAACTTTCTCTGTCTCAATTTTCTCTCTCTTGAGTGTCAAAATGAGATCAAAGACAGTCAATTGGGTAATCCAATACGATTATAAAAAATGTATTGAATTGAAAATTGAGGTAGTGAATTGAATATTGAATTGAGGAATTATATTGAACAATATCGATATTTCGATGAATTGTTTCAGCCCTAGTTCAAAGGATATCAGATAGGAAACCATGGTATTTTACAAAAGGTTTTATGCTAAGCAAAAATTTGTGCAAACTTAGCAATTTTCAATACATAAAGTATGACAGACGGACATTCAGACTCAGAGGGGTAAAGGCATGCTCTGGTTGGATACAAAAAGTGACATTTATTATCAAGATTTTACTGCGAGCTCATAAAGCGACAACCTAAGTTCTCGTGAGAATAATAACAAAAGTTCAACAGTACGTTAACTCGCCTTGATTTAATGGATATATATTTAAGAGGAATAGTAAACAAAACATTCTTCATTAACTTTCAGCACTTTTCAGGCTTCTTTTTGGTAATGCAACTTACAAACGACGTCATTTGAGTCTAGACACACCAAATGTCATGTGCTGTTTGATGAGCCCAATCTAAATTTCTACCCTGGCCCTAACGGTCACACCATCAACATATTAGCAGTTGTGACACTTTTGGATCATTTGGACTGCAATGTTTGGGCTTTTAAGTCAAGACTTTATTTCTAAAAGAAACATCGCCTGGTGGCATCTACTCACCACAAAATTTATGGTTTTCACTTGAATAAAAATCATGTCTAGCTATTATGAGTAATTATATTCTTTCTGGTTTTTACACTTGATGTTTACCTCTCTTGGAGTTTTGAAGCCTAGACCAACATTTCTGAAGTATCTGTTATTCTTCTTCCCTTTGGCAGAGAGCAAATTCTTTTTGTTGTTTAGAAATACAGTGGGCTGTTTCTGAAAGGATCTCTCAGTCTGGAGAAAAACATTAAATAAAGTAAGTTACATTCATATCAAGCAATCAGAGCAATTTCCTAACGTTATGTTATATCAACAAACATTGTGTCCTGTGCAATGAGTTCATGACGTGAATTTGTATGAAACTTTCATTTATTAATTAGATTCTGGATACTTTGTACTAATGAATCAGTATTCATTAGAACAAGAAGGTATTTATTGGCATATCTGAAGAGTGTTCGGGTATAGATTTTATTCCAATATATTAAAACAAGGCAAAACTGCCTCGACACGTGCTGTAGTACCTGCTCCGCCATGATTGGCCGCAAGAAAAGACCGGAACACTGATGACGTCGAGTGAATTGCATTCTGGGATAGGAAGCGTACAAAGAAGATTCGGATTAAAGAACCTTATAAGCAAAAATTGGATCCAAAACTTTTCGAATAGCCATGTCCTCAAAATTCTAAACAATAAAAAGGGTTTGTAGAGTAAAAGGTGGTAAATATTTTGTATATGACTTTTAATGAATTATTTTTTCACGCCGGGAGCTAGCCGGTCCAGGGCTGTGACTGTTTGATACCTAGAACATTATTTAAAAAATTATAAAAACAGCTTCAATTCATTTATTAATGTAAAATGTGAAAAAGCTGGAAAAGATCTAATTTTACGGAATTCAAATTCAAATTCAAAAAGTGAGCTGGATCAGGCTCTAGGGACATGGAACAGACTTAAACTTTAAAGAGTCAAATTTCGATCACCTGACAGAAGTTTATTGAAAAATGAATTCATTTCCTAAATTTGCAGTTGACAATTCTTTTTTAAAAAAATGATTAAAAATAATTTAATTTTTGGTCTGGCTAAAGACAACAAGATTTTTGTACAATATGAAAAAAAATGACTTAACTTAAGAAGTTCCACGATCTTTGCAGGGGCCAAGTGCCTAAAAGAAGCAAGTATCCCTTGTTGAGAAGTCACACCCATCGTGTGTTTTATGTATTGATGAGGTAGAACAGGGTCATGGTAATTAACATACATAGATTTTACGAAATGCTGACATGAAACAAAATCCCTTGTCATTAAACTTATTTGTCAATATCGGATGATCTAACCCTTTCCCCCCTCTCCAGGCCCGTATAGCAACGGCCTTACATCAACAAAAAGCGGGAGGGGTCTAAATGAAAATTTAGTAGGCCTACTATAGCGTCAAAGGGCGGATTATACTCAGAAAAAAGTATCATGTTTATAAAAATGTCATATTACTGTAGTGTACATTTTATACGTGCAAATTTCAGCGATTATTTTAATTGTTCTAATCATGTCACCCCGGGGGTAGGGTGGGGACATATTCAGACACACATAAAAAAACCTTAATGTAAAAAATAAACCATCCTGAAACCAAGCGCCTGTGTAACTGATGGGAAGCTCTACCGAGAATTCGAACCGAAATTTTTAAAACGCGTTGATATAAATTGGTCATTATTATTGGGGGTCAAAGCATAAAGAAGCTGTTTTTATGCACCGCCATTTAAACAGCTGGTACATATAGAGTCAGTTTTCATGTCCGTCTGTCGTCCTTCCGTCTATCCTTCCTTCCCTCTTTGTGTTTAGCTAAGTTCAAAGCTAAGTTTTAAAGATACTATTCGAGATTATTTTCATGAAACTACCTATGCTTAAAAATACATATTGACAAGAGCTATTTAAGTTCAGCAACATTTTTTACCTTTGCCTTCCCTTTGACCTTGACCTAACTTTTAGTGTTTAGTACATGTGTAGTTTTAAAGGAACCATTTAAGATAATGTACTAACCAAGCTTCATATGCTAAAACATACTGATGTAAGTTATTCAACTGCATCAACATTGTTAAACCTTAATCTTTTCTTTGACTTAACTTTTTCTTAATTTTATCTGAAAACTTCATATTCTAATTCATACTTATGTAAATTATTCAATTGCATCAACATTTTACCTCTCCTTTGACCTTGACCTCGTTTTTCTAATTAACTGTTTATCTCATCAAATAACGTATAAGATATTTTTATCAAACTAAATATGCTGACATATGTAAGTAAGTGCTACACTGTATTGAACTGTATTAAAACTTTTAACCTTGTACGTTCCTGTGACCTTGACCTCACTTTTCTTTAATTTACATTTTTTTAACCTGTAAATAATTTTTTTTTAAATTTTTTTAAATGTAAGTTTATGTACCTGTGCATAATTTGGTGAGAATTTATCATCTTTCTCCATCATTTGGATGTCAATTTCAATTTTAAAGAAACTATTCAAGACATTCTCATCAAATTTAATTTTTCTCTCTATAAATTTCATTGAAAACACATTTTGTTAAATCACCGGAAAATGGTCAATTTTTGTGTAATTTCATTATTCATGTCAGTACTGAAACCAGAAAATGTGTAGTTATCTTTTTCTTAAAGATCAATTCATATATTAAGTTTTTGGTTTTTTTTTAAGAAAAAGATAGTTTATCATTTTCACCAGTTCTGAAATTCAAGATTGATGTTGACTATATAATATTATTCATTGTGCATATGTAACTTGAATTTTCATGTCACACTTAAATAGCAATATTTTTAAAATATCGATGCTGATCAGATAAAAACTGTTGTTTTTATCAAATAAAAGAATTTCTTGGATTATCAAGAATCTGTTAAATAATGTTGTCGTGCCTATCTAAACTTCACCTTTGACACATATCAAAACAAATTCTCATGTCGCATTACTAATATAAAGTCTGCGGGGCATGTGTCTTATGGACAAATTTCTAGTTTTAAATAGTTTACCAGGGACCTATATAGTATGAACGGTTTACTGTATTTTATGTTTCTGACTATATATATAGTCAAATACATAGGGGGATTCTCTCTCTCTCTCGTACGACTTATCTAGTAAATGACTCACCTATGTGGCGTAATTTCCGGTGTTGTTTGAACTATGCGAAGTAGGAAGCGATCTTAGAAAAATAAGATGAAAAATAACATAATTTTATCTTTATTTGTTCTCATCTCTCTGTATCACTCATGTAAGTATTGCCAGCGTTATTTTCCCTGCATATATTCTTTAAATTCTTCAAAAATCATCAAATTACAAAGGAAATAAGGAAGTGAGCTTGCTGTTGATTTGAACAAATTAGAAAAGGTAAACAGGTCCAGTACCAGTGGCGGATTTAAGGGGGGGCGCACCCGGCGCGCGCCCCCCTAAAATTGTCAAAATTAACGTAGATCACAATTTCGTATAGGAAATGTAAATATGTATACTCGGTAGACCTCATTTTTACCCTACAAAATCTCTAGAATCCAGGGGCCCGTTTTACAAAAGAACTTACGACTAAGACCAAAAACTTCAGATGATCATAAAATTTTTAAAAATCAGTAATTCTCTTTGAAATTGTTTGTGTAAAAGTATCTTACCACATTCCTTTTAAACAGTTTAAAATAATTTTTGATAAAATGTTAATTAAAAAGTTATATGAAGAATTAAATTTGGTCTTAAGTCGCAAGTTCTTTTGTAAAACGGGCCCCTGGAGCTTCCGGGGGCTTCGCCCCCTGGACCCCCACTAGAGCTTTGCCCTGGACCCACTGGGGGCCTCAAGGCGGCCCCAGACCCCTTGCCTACTTTTGGCGCCCCCTCTAACTTCAAATCCTGGATCCGCGCCTGAGTACAATCAGTACGTTGGTAGAATTGCCTACCCTAGCTTTATTTACCTACCTCAGGTAGCGTTATTTAGCTATTTCAATCCAAATTTTCCAAATTTGCTTTTCATTTAATAAAATCAAAAAGTCGCAATTAACAGGTCCAGGAAAATCACTATATTTAGCTATATAGCTTAATTTACCTGTAAAATATAGCTTTATTTAGCTATTTTAGAATAAGTTTCCGTTTTATCAAAAGCAGACAAAAAGTCGCATGAAAATTATAGCTGTTAATTCAACAGGTCATTGAACCCCCGTTTGGTGGTCAATCGCCCATATCGGCGTCTTTATTACCTACCAAATGGGAGAGAAAAATCGTTTTGTTCAGTTCTCTGGAATGACGTGAAATGGCGCATAATTTCAACTCACGGGGAATAAAATATAGATATTTATCTATGCTCTGAACGAAAAAAATCAGAATTTTAACGCAGACTTTTTTGCGCAGTGTCGTTCAAATATTGGATAAAATCGTCACCTGTGTGAACAAGTGTAACTTTTCTGTGTTTTAACTTAAAAAGAAAAATTCCCTCCATCTTGGGGATAGTTGCACCTATCAATCGTGTTTATCACTTCATATTTTTTGTCATCCGGGCAACAAATCAATTATCTAAACCAATTAAAAATTACTATCTTTTCTGAACTTGGGTCAAAAGACAGATTTAACTACGGAGACCCATTAGTGTTAATTTTCAAAAAGTAAAATAAGAGGAAGGGTAAGAATTCGCTTTTATTTCATTTATTTCGTATGCAATGGCTTTTTTCTTTATAAAAATAGGATATGCAGTGAATTCATTATAAAATAATGGCTCGAAAACAATAATCTTGGAATAAAAACAAGAATAATTGCAACTGTCACTTTGTAAATTTTTTATTCAAAAATATTTCATAAATATAGTAGATACGTCATAGATATGCATACTAAACCACAAAGGGTCGCACAGAAATCGTAACTTCATCCTAAAAGAAAATAGAGAATAAATGTTACATTCAAATGTAGAAAAAATGAATATTATAGCAATAAGTGCCCACCATATGAATTAGATACAAGGAGCTTGTGTTTAACGGGATTTTATACAGGTTTATATAGACGCAGATCGAAAGACTAAAACCTCTTGTCTAAATATATTTTTTACTGAACTATACACAACAAAATAATTTTTCATATTATTTGAACAAATAGTTCATAGTTTGGCCGTCACAAACAGCTGTGGGTTTCGTTTTTACGAAGTTCCACAGAAATTACACATGGAAAATTGAATAAATTGTATTAAATTTGTGAGGAATTTGTTAATTAAAATTCTCCAATGCCTAATAAATGCGCTTTTGCTTTATTTTAATAAAAATTGGATTTGAATAAAAAAGACCACCATTTGGTAGGTAAAAAAGACGCGGATGTGGGCAATTGACCACCAAACGGGGGTTAAATGACCATTTGGCAGTGTGTGCCCAACCTGTTCAAGAAAGAAGTCAGATTTAGTAGGTAAATAAAGCTACTTTAGATAGGTAAGTAAAGCTATGTAGGTAAATCAAGCTACCTAGCTAAATCTAGTTGATTGTACTAGACCTGGAAGAAGTGTTGCCAATGAATTATTTCATTATCCCAAAATGTTGATGATTATTCCCATAATATAAAGGTGTAGAGTAAGCTGTAATATTCACGTAAATAAGTTTACATAGTCTGATATGAATCAGGTCAAGCACAACATGCTGAACACAGGCACTTATTTTATACAATACTGTTTTTATTTTTCAGGCACCGCTATTATGTGTCACCGCTGTGTAAGTGCTATGGGTGGATGTATACCATGTATTTACTCTACCCCTGTCTTTATTTTTCAGGCACCGCTATTATGTGTCACCGCTGTGTCAGTGCTATGGGCGGATGTGGAGATGATCTGGATTGGAGAATGTTTCCATGGCGAGACTGTGGAGATTCTGAGTTCTGTGTCAAAATCATCAAAAAAGTCGGAAGTGAGTTTTATTTGAGAGAGTAAATAGTGTGAATTCATTAATGAAACAATGTAAAACATTGAAAGTGATGTATAAAATGTGATAAAAAGAAATTAGAATCTCCCATGATTTGTGGTTATCTGGCTAAGGCTTGGAGATAAAAATAGCACAACTTGTTCAATGATAAAAGTCATATCCAACCACAAACCATGGGAACCATTATTTAATCTTCATGTTATTATGCAAGAACCTTAGCTCACAAAATATTTTTTTTTTTAAGATTAATAACAATATAAATATACAACAATAACAAGAATTCATGAAAATTTTGTTTTACTTGTAAATAACATATATCTTTCTTATGGAAGTAAGGTGTCAGGAAATTTTGTTGATCTACAGTAACATTATGCAAACCAGTATCTTCAACACATAATATTTTCAGGTGAGCATAACATAGTCAGGGATTGTGAGAGTAGCTTGATGAGATCAACAAATCATCGCCTGAAGATGCCTAATTTGCGTCGCCATGGTTATTGTTTGCCGGCCAGGAAGAACGACGCCAGTAACCCTATGGACACCGAGGACGAGAAAGTGATGTACTGCTTCTGTAATGACTGGAACGGGTGTAATTCGGCCCCAGGGATGTCCCCCAGAATCCCATTCCTCTCCGTCATATCCGCCCTCATCTCTTTCACCATCCTCAAAGTGCTGTGATTGTCATCCAGATTCTAAACAGTTTACACCACTCTCAAAATTAATAATTGCTTCAAAATCTTTAATGAGATCCGAATAGATTTCTCAAATTTTGATTTTAAATGAAGAATGTGTACAAAAATTGTTGTGCCATATTACATGTGTACTTCCGATTTTTTGAGTTTCTGAGACATTTCTCTATCCATTTGATTTATAGTATCAGTTGGTACCTCCCCATCTTTTAAATTGTTTGATACTGTATGAAACAGGTGTGGATATTACATATTTTATACCAATCAGTATATTCGTTATACATTGTAATAATCATGTATGTATGTGGTTACTGTAATTAGTATGTCATTTTATATATGCAGCAATTGTCACACATATTTGTATAGACATGTCTTGTATATTTTTTTAATCTCATTTTGTACATAATAATGCATCACAATTGATTAACACCATAAAACATATGTATGTGATATACTAGATTTTTACTGTGAAGAATACTTTTGTATAGCAACATTTATTATAACTGTAGATACATATCAGATTGTGAATTTATTGCATTGTTTTTAATGTCTTACTGCAATAGTTGTTGGTCTCCATCGGGTTACTAGATACATGTATAACTGACTTGGTACATTATTGGTATCAGGCTCATACATATCAACAAGTTTGTGTATCTTTGTAGGAGTAATCTGCCCTTGTTGGAGACAGTGTATAAATTAACTCCATCTTAGGTTGTAATTCAAAAGAGACAAAATATTTTTTATTTAACTTTTTTTTTTACTAACAAATGAATAAGGTTGTGATACTAGTAAATACATTCCACATTTAAAATTGAGAAAAAATTATTTTCTTTTGTATTCAGGGCAAATTCCACAAGTCCTCTTTTTAAAGTTTATCTTTATGTTGCATTTGAATAAATCATGGTATTTTGAAAAACAGAATAGGCATAGAGTGTCTTACATATATAATTATGCTTTTCCAGTACATTGTACATGTGTATGTAGAATTTAGAAACAGGTTCATTTTAACGGCATTTCAATTAATGATTTCTATGATTTAAAACAATGAACTGTCAGAAGTAGGACTTGATCAATCTGGTTAATTTTATACCTATATACATATCAGAAATTTGTACCCTGCTTTCTTTGCAAAAATGTTTTTGCAACAATTATATACACCAATTTTGTTGGAAAATTCTTTATTCTGGAAATAAATTTATTTCTAATTGCTTGTTTTTATATTTAAAAGAAGAATGTTATTTATCTTCTAAATTATATTAAGCTTTAATTGAATAGAACATATTTTAACTTTTTGCGTATTTTTAACCATGAATGAATATGCAAAATAGTCTGCAAATAATAATGAATGAATGCAGACGTTTGAATAGAACAGCCTCCTAAAAAAAGTATTTCTGGGAGCTTCAGTGGAAGGGACAGAAAGTGTTAGAATCTTCAAAGTTCCCACTTAGCCAACATTTTGAAAAATCCTATTCCCACATAGCCAACATTTCGATTTTTACTCCTGAGTGATTAACAGGCTATAGTCTGTTTTCTGGTATGCATATATATTAATTACCTGAGAATTATTTCCTTTGGGAAATAAAAACAGTGTTAAAATATACCAGCCATAGTTAAAATTTGAGTCAAAATAAATATAAAATTAAAGAAAAAAAATTAATGTTCAATAATTTTTTTATGTAAAAAAGTAGCAAAATTTAAGCAGAGAAAAAATTAATTCAAAAAAATAATTAATTTAAATTTATAAATAGAATATTAATATCATTTAAGTATAAAAAAAAAAAAAATAGAAACAAATATATTTTTTTTGACCACACAACATATTTTTGTTAGAAAATAAATAAAAACAATTAAGGGCTGCATTTCATTTTTAGTAATTATCAACTTTTCATTTCTGACATTTTTTAGTTTTCATTTCCAACATTTTTTTGTTTTCAATTCCGACATTTTTCAGATATTACCCTAAGTAACCAATTTGAAGACTTTACCTATGAAAAATTGAAAGGAATACAAATAAACCAGAGAAAAAACTCGATTAGAGTACATCAAGTGTTTTTGGCATAAATTTGGTGCTGTCACTTACGTTTATTTTAGTGCACATTAAAGGCCGGTATACACGATGAGATTTGTAGTATAATACAAGTATTATAATACTTTTGTATTATAATACTTTCTTTTACACACGCTAATACATATCTTATAAGATTGTAAATAAACTATTATTCCCACGTGTTTTCTCCTGCCATATTTCTCTCTCTGTCAAAATAATAAAAACTATAATAATAAGCTCTGCTTCTAGATCTTTTTTTGTGGTAGGTACAGCTTGACATATTCCACAAGTCCTCTACCCTTTCCCATAAAACCACGAGTTTTTCGATATCTTTACTCGAAAAGTCGGCCATTATTATTTACCATGTGCTTTACTTAGTAATGATATAAATAGGAAGACCCCCAATGTGAGTACATTTGATTGGTTGAAAGTGAAAGGTGAGTTAAGACTTGTATTAGGAAATAGAGCATTGCTCTATTCTTAATACAGTTTTATAAGATTCGAAAAATCTTATGATACACTGTATTAAGAGTGTATACACAGTAAGATTTTGTATTATAATACAAATCTTATAATACAAATCTTACCGTGTATACCGGCCATTAAATGAGGTGAAGAAGTTGTATGTTCATTGAACTCTCTTATCTAGACTTAGTGCTACATGTATGCATATATGTACATTTATAATAAAAGAATTTTTAAAATATATTTTTGATCAATATTTTGCAATAAATACTTTTAAAATTTCACTTTCACTGACTAGTAAAACATTAAATTCCCGCACAGGTAAATTCCGGAAATGAAAACAAAAATATGTCGGAAATGAAATGAAAAAATGTCGGAAATGAAATTAAAAAAATGTCGGAAATGCTATGCAGATTTCCGGAAATGAAATGCAGCGCAATTAAGACACTCTGAAGAAACAATTATGTATAATCATTAAAAATGGTTGTGTTTATACTAGTAAAAGTGCTTGTATATAACATTACCGATACACAAGTTAAGTATATAATTATTTTATAAATGATTATAATTGAATGTTTTTTTTAAAGAATCTAAGCTAGATAAGCATAGTTAATATCAATAATTTACAGAATCAAAAGCTTGCAAATTTTGAGATCTTAATTGTTTTCTGGACTTTCCATTGAAAAAAATCACTATCAAAAAAAAGAAAGAAAGAAGGAAGAAGAAGAAAATGGCTAATCTTCAGGTGCAAGTCAACTTTCTCGAGAACGGCAGAGGAGGATTCTATCTTCTTCATGGTGGATACAAGTATTCCGTGAGGACAACACGTAACGACCGAACATATTGGAGATGCGTAGACCGACAGTGTCCAGCTACAGTTGTGACAGTGAACAACATCCTTGTCTTTTGGTCGGCCTCACAATCATGAAGGGGACTTCATTGGCTTGGCAGCAGAATCCTTTGTCAACAAAGTGAAGAAGAGATGCAGAGACGAAGCGGCTCCCATACCATCCATATATGTTGAAGAGTTAGGAGCACTCCGAAATGCCGACTGTGATGACACTGTGATAGACATGATTAGAAAGATCCCCACCTTTCAATCCTGCAAGTCTGTGTTGTACCGGAGTCGAATGAAAATGATGCCCAAACTGCCTACCACACAAGAAGAAATCGACATCCAGGATCCCTGGACACAGACCTTAGCTCGTGAGAGATTCCTTTTGTGTGATGATGGAGATGAAGCAGGGAACAGAAACATTGTGTTTGCCACTGATGACAATCTTCAGAGACTTTGTGCTGCTACAACTGTGTTTAGTGATGAGATTTTCTACTCCTGTACATCTCTATTCACTCAGCTATACACTCTGCATGCAGAAGTTGATGGGACAGTTTTCCCTCTTGTGTTTGCCTTGCTCCTCAACAAGACTGAAGCAACTTACAGACGTCTTCTTTCCCTGTTGAAAACCGCAGTCAACGAACGCCACTCCGTGCTAACACCTGAACACTGATTGACTTTGAAGTGGCAGCCCGAAATGCAGTGAAAGAGAACTTTCCCAACACGACCATCCGGGGATGCTTTTTCCACTACACACAGTGTATTTGGAGGAAAGTGCAAAACTGTGGACTGACAACAGAGTTCAACGAGAATGAGGACTTCCATAGACTAGTGAGAAGAGCCGCCGTCCTGCCTCTTGTTCCAGCTCCCCGTGTTGAGGATGTGTGGTTCCAAGCCTTAGAGGACCATGATGACAACACCGACGCTGTGAAGCGATTCAAGAACTACGTGACCGAGACCTGGGTTGAAGGGCATATGGACATCTCAAACCATTTTGATCACGACGGACATCGAACCACCAACGCAGTTGAGGGATGGCACCACAAGTTCAATAGAATGTGCAGACGTGCCCATCCAAATATCTTTGTATTCATCGAGATGCTCCAAAAAGAACAGGCGGCAAATGAGGCAAAGATCATCCAGATTACAGCAGGAGGAGTCTTGCGTCCCAAAAAGAGGAAATACCGCCAGCTGGATTCACGTCTCCAGCGTCTCAAGGACAGACTGCGTCAAGGACAAATGGACATAGTGGCCTATGCTGATGCTGCTTCACATCTCATTCATTTCGAGTGACAGTGGAAGTGATTGTGGTGAAATAATGTAGAAACTAGTATTTCATTCATGTGACGTTGATTGTGAATCCATTGTTTGTTTTATTTATGTCTTATTTATTGCTGTGAGATGTGAAAAAAAAAACTCATAATAAAATATTATTACTTTTCACAAGCGTTTTTCTTGAAGGTTATATTTGAAATATAGTAGTAAACATGGTAAATGTATCTCTAAAAAAAAAAAAAAAATTTAAAATTAGTTTTCATAATTATATTTCCAGGATGAAAACAGTAATTCTTGAAGTTTATATTTGAAGTATAGTATATGCATTTATCTCTAAAAAAAAAATAAATTAAATTAGTTTTCATATTTATATTTCCAGATGAAAAAATTTAATGTAATCATTTATTATTATAGGTTTAGATCAATATTCAGGTATAATTAAATATAATTCTTTAGAGAAAGAGAATTTCTTATTCATTTTATATTTGAAATAGGAAGACATCTAAAACAGTTTTAAAAATAATGAAATTTTTTTTAAAAAAAATCATAGTTTTAAAATTAAAAAAAAAAATTTAATATTTTTATATGAACAATTTAATATTTATGAGAAAACAATTATTATTTTAATAAGAATTATTTACTATTTATTCAGCATATAGCTAAAACAGACTATAGCCTACCTGTAATTTATTTCTTTTGTTCTCCACCTGCACCCCATTCCCACTTAGCCAACACCGACTTACCTGTGTTTTACCTGTATTTTTTCAAAATGTTGGATAAGTGGGAAGACACCAAAGGCAGTCATGCACATAAATCTGGTGAATTGCCAATATTTGACAAAAAATAACATATTAGTTTAGTAAGTGCTGGGTTACAAAGAAGATGGGCGGATAAGGCGGGCAGAATGCCTATAGCGTCAGATATTAAGAATCACATTTGATAAGTAAATTGAGTATTTAAATTTACATCTCATCATTGAATTTTATGAAATTATGAGAAAAAAAAAATTTTCTGAGAAAAAATAAATCTCTTTAAAAAATTTCATTCATAAAAATATTCCTTGGTATTCGTGGGATTCGAACCCCCAGCAATAAAATACCGATGAATCAGACTGCTTTGATACTAACGCGCTAACCACTATGCTACATGGCTCATATGTTGTAGTGGCATTTAAATCATGTTTGTGATATGACCCTTGACTTTATGGACTTGAAGTATTTCTCTGAAAGATGCGAATGTTTTGTTATAAAAGTGTATTTTTAAGGTATAGTGGGTCTTCCCTCCATTTTTTTGTAAACCAAAAAATATGTATTTTATCGCAAACTTTTAGATTATCTTTCAAAAAGATGGAGCGAAGACCCACTCACATTAAAAAAAATTGATAAAGTATGAAAAAATGATCGTTTTTGTTCTTTTAAGTCTGTGTATGCTTTTTCATGGGCAAATATTTTCAGTTTTTGTGAGATTTTTGCAAATTACAGAGAATTTACATTAAGTATACTTTAATATGAGATGAAATATGACATAAAATTTGGATATAATTGAGATAAAAAATTTTCACTTCTTATCTGTCGCGCTATAGGCATTCTGCCCGCCTTATACGCCCATCTTCTTTATAATCACAATGTCAGTGTCCTTATTGCATGATTATTTCATCAGTAGATTAATTATATCTTTGGAGGAGAGTTTTGAACCCAGGACGGAGGAAGGCATGAAAGAAGTACATTTGTATTTATTACCTATCTACTTTTAGGTGTTTTGAATTTAGGCAGCTTTATAGGTTTATAGTGTGCCAAGAGAGCCTTGGACCACAACATTCACCTGAATCACTCAACACACTGATCTTCATCAGTAGATTTCCTTATATATTCTTATGTGAAACTTTGTTCTTTTGTGGCTTTTGTCAATGGGATTATAAAAAAAACTTAACTTTCGGCTCAGGTGAGCTAAAATTTATAAGGTATGTTCTATTCTTTGCATGATACTGGTATATGAGGATATGGTTGCAATTTGATCCCCTTATTAAATTGGGAAGATTTATCTTGCTTCCAAAGTCAGTTATCCCCCCCCTCTCTCTCTGAGCAAAGACATGGACAGTTTTTTCAAAATTCTTTTAATTACAACATTAGTAACACGACTAAATTGTTTACACCGTTATCAACGTTTGCACATAATATATGTGTTTTAAGTTTTAACCGACATACTACGTACAAGCAATAGCCAATAAACGGTATTCTTAAAAGTGATTAGATAGACAAGTGATGTCATCTTAATATCTTTTTTTTTTTTAACATACATTGTCTAGGTACAGGCATTGTCAGATAATAATGACACATTCACATTATTCTAGCCTACGATGTGACTGGACTACTAGGGCGTGCTACACCCGAACGATCCGTGTCCGGAAAATCTATCCCATATAGTTGTTCGTTCAGTAAATCTGAGGCTCTTTTGTTCATTTTCAACTGCTTCCTAAGTTTTTTCAACTCTTGTTCAACTCTCATGTCCTTTTCCAAGCAAACTTTTACCCTATGTTCACTTTTGAGAGACTTTCTTGTGGCTTTGTTTCTTGAGCTTCTTTTACAAGTGTTTTGAGAAAAGTTCTGTATGATAGAATTTACGTTGGTGAAGCCTTTATTAACGATTTTAGACTTGAGGGCAAGGCGAATGATATCTATCGGCACGTCTGAGCGATATCTGTATTCCTTCTTTGGAAGCTCGGTGGGCATGCGCACATGATGATACAGCGGTTTGACATCAACTTTATCTCCAAACATACAGATTGGAAGTTCCATCTTCTGATGAAAAGTTTTTGCAATCGTGTTTGTAACTGAGGATTCTTTCGATTCCTTTTCTGGGAAATGTTTATCCTTTGTATCATTTTCGATGGCATCGCCTGTTACCTTTGCAGTTGTACCATCGTCTGGATTATTTTCGATATTTCGCGGCGATTTCTGCAGAAGGTCCAGTAGATACTCTTTACGACCGCTGCTGGGTTCAGAATCAGACAATATATCGAGGACAGATAGGTCAAGAGGTGGTACTTTTATCGGACCCACATCCTTATGACACCAGTTTAATAATTGTTTATTTTTTCTTGCCTCTTTAACAGGCAGAGGCTTCAGAATGTCTTTTACTGGAGAAATAAAGTTCTTTGGCTCTGGCTCTTTTCCGCTGTCTATGGCGACTTTACTTAGAGCGCCAGACCTGATGCTGTCACACCAGTGTGATCTTGGGTCACCAACAGCATTTTTCATGACAGCGGTGCACCTCAAAGGAGGCAGTTTGGGTTGTGTTGGTCTCTTTTTCTCAGTGACAGAGGTAGAAATTATCGGTAGAGTAATGAGATGTGACCGAGCAGTATGTCCATACAGATCTTCTCCCAGATCCAGTGATGTTGTATCTTCTTCGTTGGAATTCCCTGGTACTGTTTCGAGTTCTAGCCCGACTTCACATTCTGTTTTGGGTATGGATTTAAATTTGGAGTAAGCTGACTCGTACAGATGAGGTAACCTATGATTCCCCTGAACACGATAGTAACACTCCTGGCTTCCGTCCATGCTTTTGGGATCAAACCAAACCTTCCTGTTCGTTTTCTTCACTACCTGGTTGTTTCCGGAAACCTTTTGTTGGATTTTTTGCTCATGAGACTTGAAATCAGGAAACCACCCACAAAAATCATCCCCGCCTATTCCAGAAATGCGTTGCAGTGTGTCATTTGGTATAGGTGGAAGCTCTACCAACACGTCTCTAATATCTTGAGTTAACGAGCTTTTGTGCACAGACATCACCGCATCATTTTCCTTTTGAATGCCTACACACCTTTCTTGCTTGAATTTTTGCTTTAAGTATTTTGGATCTGGCAACTGTTCATTCTGTCCAAATGCGCAAGCACTGCTCTCCACTCTGTTACCGTTTTCTTCTCTTATTACTGTGTTTTCTCCCCATCGCATTTGCTTGGCGTTTGTTGACTTATTGCGTTGGTTACTGGAATTTGAACATTTTGGCGAATTTCTTGGAATTAGGTTCATTTTTACACAGACTGAGTTAGCTCTTAATTTTCTGGTTATATCAGACTGGTTTTTTAGCGAGTTCGGATTTCCCTCTGTGTTTTTCAGCGAGTTCAGATTTCCCTCTCTGTTTGTCAACTCCTTAGAACCGACCGGACTGTTAGGTCTTGGTACACTATCTATAGTGTCCAGACTGTCTGACTGAGCTACCATACACTCATTCTTTTTACATTTATTGCATATTATAGGGCTTTTGTACAATGGATTTGTAGGCACTCGGATAGATGGAAGTGACTCAGGTTCATCGATACGTCCCAAGCATCTTGATTGTATATCCTCGGCCAGGAAAGTTGCGTCCAGTGCCTTCAAGAGACTTAAAATGTCCTCGAATTTACCCCTTTTTAAACTGGTGCCATTTGAACTACCTTCAGAGCGTGATGCGGCTGTTTTCTCCGTGGATCGTACAGGAGCAGGACTAGCGGACGAACAAACAGACATTTCTTTTCCACGACATTCATCTTCTGGAGTGTTTCGGACTTTTTTGAACTCCTCTGGTTTCTCGATGGTGTGTTTTTGCTGTGGCAGTTTTCCCGATATTTCTTCCAGTGCGTTGTTTATTTTCCTTACAGCAGCGAATGTTTCCGTCAACTTTTCATTAAGTTGCTGGGTTTCCTTGTATTTTTCTTTTAAACTGTGATCCAGCGACATCGCAAATGAAGTGTATGAACTCAAAACCATAAATTCTATCCTAATTTGGCATTACAGTAGATATATTTCATGTTTTGGGAGGCTACATTGTCGTGGAAAAGTAACTCTAAGTAGCGTCTTAATGTATTGTTACGTCACATCTCACTCTACTTATTGTTACGTCACACTCCATTTTAATTATTGTGACGTCAGATGTCCGCCACAGTTACATTTCAATCTGCCTATTGTTAGGTCACAATGCATAGTGTTACGTCACATTTCATTCTAACGAGTTTGACGTCAAGTGTCTGTCACGAAATCTAGACTATGTGATAAAAACTACATTGCCAAATATATACGTGTAAATAAATTTGGATTTATATCACTTATGAAGAAGACGTCAGAGTAACTTAGCGTCACAACGCATGTGTGAAGATATTTCTGCAATCTAAAGAAAAAAAGGGATGTCCAGCATACCACTGGCATTCTCTGATTCTCTGCAAGCTCTTCACGATTTTGTCGGACGCATGATAATGGGATTTTTAAAAAGTATTAGGTATTAGATATTAGGCCTAATTCTTCTAAATTGAATCAATGATTGCTTGGTCTCCATATGACCGGATACATACCGGTATGCATGTAGGAATGACACGTTTCAAACTGGGTTTTATGCAGGAGTTTTGTATTTAAAATAATCTGATTATTTCCTAAATTATAACAAAACCAGTCGTTTAGCTGTATTTAATGATATTTCAATGGACTTAAATAGATGGTAAAGACGACAATTTTGAAAGGTAACCTGATCAAGAAAATTAATTCGAGCACACCTGAACGAAAAAGAATCGATCTACGGAGAATCATTGTACGACTGCGCAATGTAATCTCGTGCAAGCTCTGACCTGTGTCAATAAAGAGATTTTACTATGCTTTAGAAGGAATGAACACTAAATATCGGGAACAAAATGTTGTTTGTGTTTTTGTGGATTTTCTGGTTATCTCCTGTCCTTGCCCAGTTAGAATGGGAGCTCGTCACCAACGAAAGTAGCGTGTCTCCTCCGGGAAGAAGGGACCATGCGATGGGATTTGTTACGATGGGCAATTCGAGTTACCTGATTTTGTTTGCTGGACGATCGCACTCGAATCAACCCATGTATGATACGTGGATTCTTGAAATGCAAGATAATACAATAGGTAAGAAATAATAAATTTGAATTTCAGTTTTGCAATGATGACTTTTTAAGTTTAACAGAAAACTAGAGCACCAAATTCAATGTATACAGGCAGGTCTGACAATGACCTTTCTTCAGAAGAAGAGGGAAGGCTCATCTTCAGAAAGGGCCACAAATTCAGATGGAGGCTGAGAAGCTGCAGATCTGAAGCGTTATGGTTTTATATATTTGTCTTTGACCAAAACGTTACAGATCCATAATGCAAAAAAGGTGCAATTTACGGCGCAATATGTTTTGCGCATTTTTGGGGAGAATTTCTTCACTTTCCAGCATCGATCAATTAACTACCTTTCACTCCCTAATTTTAGGAACATTATTTAACTAATCTGTATATTGTATCAACCTCCCAACCCTTTATATTCGTCTCTACAAGTGATAAACTAGCTTGATTAAAATTATTTGTTAGATTGCTGAAATTTCACTTCAAGCGAGGTTATTGCCCGTAGAGACAACTACATGTATAAATGGTTGGGAGGTGGATAAAATATACATATTGGCTACAGAATGTGTCTAGAATTAGGGAGTGAAAGGTAGTTGATTGACAAATGCTAGAAAGTGAAGAAATTCTCCCCAAAGGTGCGCAAAAAATATTGCGCCGTAAATTGCACCCTTTTTGCATTATGGGATCTGTAGCGTTATGGTCAAAGACAAATATATAAAACCATAACGCTACAGATCTGCAGCTAGAGGCTAAGCTGTATCAATTAGTCGTGGCGAGCAAAAAGAAAAATTATTTTTATTTACTAAATAATAGCTGATTATTTTTCCCCGATAAAGCTGACATTTGTCAAACCCCTTTTCTCAAGAAAGCAAATATCTTAAGTGTTCTGATTCCCAACAAAAATAATATCCTATTTTTGACTGAGTTGCACAAGGACTAAAACATTCAATTTTACCACTCATGCTTATGAGTGGTAACTCATATTGTCGAAGTAGCGTCTCCAAACATTGGTTCATCTTTCTTTTCCTTTTTTCTATTGTACATTTTGTACGTTTTCTATACCGAGCAACATTCCAGGGAGAAACATTTCATGGCTATTTTCTAAGGATTTCTTTAAAGATTCTGCATGTCTTTATTCAAGTACGAATATGGAGAAATGTTACCAAGAGCACGCATCCCCCTGCTAGATTCAGTATGGTGTATGGATCAGGCGATGGCTATTTTTATATTGCCACCGGCGAGGGAGTAAATCGACAGTATTTCAATGATATTTGGAAATTTGACACTAGGTATGTTATAACATGCAATAGTAATGGTAAATGTTCCTGTATATATATGTTATTTGGTTTGAGTGCATATAAAGGCGATATACAGTTAAAACTGCCACAGTGACACACTGTATTAAGCGACTCACTGTCAAATGTGACCGTAAAAATCCCCCCCCATCACAATAACATTATCATACCATGATGCTATTTATGTTTAAAACTTCAAGTTCCTTTGCTTAATATTAAGTTTCTGCACTTTAATATATTTTTTTATACTTTCAGAACAGAAGAGTGGACAGAATTGGGTGGGACAGCGATGCACAAAGGGTATACATGTACTGATGATACACCTTATAATGAACCGATAAATCCATACATAAACATGTAAAATATGTACCGGTATGTAATACACATATGTAACGTTATATAATATATATGTACCGGTATGTAATATATATGGACCGGTATGTAATATATATGTACCGGTATGTAATTGTATATGTACCGGTATGTAATGTATATGTACCGTTATTTACGAGGGCTGATCGGAAAGCATTGAGACATTCTGATTATTTTTCTTTCCCGATCATAACAAGGAGCACACGGCGGGTATGACCGGTCGGCAGGGCATGCTCACTCCTCCATGGCACCTGATCACATCTCTGATGTTTTGGAGGTCCGTATTAGCTCTGCTCCTATTTTGTATTGTTTTATGGCCGGATTTTTTACTCTTGAATACTGTTCATTATCTTCATATATTTCTTTCTAACCAAGGTACATGGTGGTATGTTGGTGAGAATTGGCATAAACATTTAACAATCACCAACAACATATAAAAGTTAGAAATCTTTTTAATTTTTTTTTAATTGACCTATCAATGTTTTGTTATTTTGTACCCAGAGCAGTCGCGAAATCGGGTTTGGGAATTCTGTAGCTATAAAGTGCCAAGTCCTGTTTACACAGAGTTTATTTCATCCTCGCATAGACCTAAATTGAGGTCTATGATCCTCGCAATGCCAGGGCCCCTGAGTCAATACGTCGCCGTGGGCGGTAATATGTTGATTCAGGAGCCCTGGCATTGTGAGGATGAGTATATTTGAAAATGTATAAAAGCATACTCATTATACTTCGATCAATTATATATGGACTTTATTGAACAAAGATTGAAAAATTTTAGGTGAGAAATACGAATACTAGTATTATGAAGATTTCTCAGACCTGATCAACAAAACAGTCAACGTGTCTAGAGCTAAGTTTATCGTCCATTTTAACATTTTTGAGGCAAAAGTTTTGCCAAAGTGAATGCTCGATAATTTGACAAACATCAGTTTTTTAAGGGTCAAATTAAAGTCACCATTCCGAGAGTTTGGGCCAAAAATGTATATCAGACTGTAAGAGATATATTTCATGGATATTGAAGTTTGGCTTGCACTAACTCACGGTTTTTTAAAATGGGGTTTAGAATGGAGAGCATATTGACCTCTTTGGTTTCTAGAATGTCATCATTTGATGACAAAAACAAGATGTGTTTCTGAAGCACTGTTGTCCCCGTATGGCAGCTCAAGGCCAAGGTTAAAGGTCGTAACCTCACGACCTGGCCTGGATTTCTTTTAACCTTGTCATATTGTCTGAGTGGTTGATTCTAAGGCCATTTTATTCCCTTGTGTATTTCTTGTGACATTATCATAATTTCAACTCACGACCTTGGATTTTGACCTTGGATCTTGACCTTGAGATGTCAGACGGGGGCTTCAAAAATACATCTTGATTATTGTTAAAATTCTGCTGAGCTTACAAAAATTAATCTCTTCTTCCTTGATGAGAGCAAAAGTTTCGATAATTCCAAACAACCCTGTTAAACACCCAATTTTATGTTAACACCCCCAAAATCTACCTGATTCAAGATCAATAATTTACCGCCTGTCAATCATAAAAAAAAACAATAGCTTCTGATTTGATTGACAGGTCAGCTACCTGTGCTTCTTGATGATCTGAGTTTGCCATGTTTTGAAAACAATTACCTGGTCACGCGTCAAACTCTTTCATGTACCCGCATAGTATACACACGGGTTAGAAAACTCCAATATGTTTGAATTTATTTCAAAAATAATTGAAAGTAGATTATTAAAACATTGACATTATAAAATATTTCTTTTCTATCTTCACTGCTGTTTGTTACTTGTAAGTGTAATATCGTCCTCGTTATAACTGTAGAAAAAAGACCGCGGCCACAGAAACCGGCTCTATTTGCCTAATTGGAAGTCCGACGATTTAAAATATTTTTCAAGAAATAGGATATAAGAAAAATATTCAGCACTAATAAACGGCATAGCATAGTTTTAAAAAGATGTTTTATTTTGTACTATGGCTACAATCCGCACGTATTGTACAGAAATTGATGCCAGAATTAATGCTCGATTTCCTCGCGTCTGTATATATACGTAATGAAAATGTGAAGATAATAAATAGTGATCGATTCTGAAAAGAAATCTTTCTAAATATAAAATTTTGTTAACACACGAAGAATAAAAAATATGGAATATTTTGGACAACATTGTTGGCCAGGGAAAAAAATATTCCGATCGCGGTAAATGCATGTTCACATGCACGACGGATAGGTCGATTAATATTTTTTTTTATTTCATATTCAGACCTTTTTAACCAAGTGATTTCTTTTATTGAAGATTAAAAAAGATAAATATTATAGATTTGTAAGTTTTACTCGTGATTTTTTCTTTTATGTAAGGAAAACATTTTCTAAAACGATAAACATGTATCTTATTATTTTTTTTTCTTCAATACATTACCATGATTACGATGAATGCGTTAAGTTTACAAATAAATTTCATATTAAAATAATTATTTTACGTAGTTTCACTCAAAACCAGACACAATGTTGACCCTGATTACCAAAGACAGACTTCCTGTGTAATGCTACGTATACACAGATTTTGACATCTTGGGTATTGGGAGTCTCCAGGTAAATAACACCACTGTTACTTCGACCACTCCCCCTCCTCAGGTAACCGTACGGTAAAAAAATTGGGTCTTTAAGTGCCTTAGTTCAGCTAAGACATCTGATCCACCGAGACTTAAATTTTAGGTTAAATGTGACGGATGTGTTCCACCCCCAGCCTCGATATGGAGCTGCAGGAGGTATATTCCCTGGAGGATCCAAGTTTTTTGTTCATCAGGGATTTTCGGATACCAGACACTTTGACACTCTCGTTTTTGACGTCAACACAATGGAATGGAATATTGGTAGATAACCATGCATGCTTCAGAAATTGTTCCTCATTTTTAAAACGATTATTTAAACCAATAATTTCATTTTCACGAACTCTTGCAGATAAAACACATCATTTTCAGTTTTCCATGATATTAATCGCTGAGTAAAACATTGTGAACTCTTGTCTTTCAACCTTCTGCTACTTGCCGGCAAAAATATTCGCGACCTTTTATCCTCGAATAATTTTAGCGCGAACCATATTTCTATGATTGTGTTATAATTCTTACGCTCTCTATGCAAGGATAGTTCCTACATTCTTTATATAATATTGGTCTTATACTCTTCGTTTCTCAGATACTATAGTAACTGTAAGGATAATTTTTACAGACTATATTTTACAGTAAAAGTTTAAAGATATTCATGTAAATTCTACATCCTTTATTTTACAGTTGACTGTAAGGATAAGTTTTACTGTCTTTATTTTACAGCTAAGTTTTAAGATAATCCCTGCATTCTTCATTTTACAGTTGACTGTAAGGATAATTTTCACTGTCAAGTTTCTTTATTTCACAGTTGACTGTAAGGCAGGCCAGTGTAATCCCTACACCCCTTATTATCCCCACGCCAGATGTCTACACGCAGGGACAATTCTAGATCCTAACAAACTGGTCATCTTTGGTGGCTGTTTATCGTATGTTAAATTATTTTACAAAGAATACTATGTTGTTGTTGTTTTCTTTTCTGTATGTATTTATTGTAACCCCTTATAATTTTTGTATATTTAGCGGAGGGGGGACGGGAGGGGAATGTCCGTCAGGAGACACCTGGATACTTGATTCCCAGACGCTGACCTGGACAGAGTACGCCAGTTGTCCAGTACCAAGGTCAGAGATAGGTCATTATACTTACTGTCATGAAGACTAAATTTTGATTTGTACATACAGTTTTTCATGCATTGCGATGTTAAAGTTAAAACACCAGTCATAACACAGGAGTTGATGTGTCTATAAACTCTATATCAATACATATGTTATTCGTTTTCCCACAGGCAATGCTACATGTCCTCTGTCGGTAGAGCTTCGGTCTCCTCAAAGCCTTTTAATATTCTTTGTAATTATATATTATATAAATTATAAGTATATTTTACACTATTTATGTAGACTTTATGGGAGCATGGCTATGTTACCCTCCTGGAGTGGTCAGAGTAGGGTGCTACTGTACGGAGGAATGGAAGACGCACCCCAAGTTATACAGGTATATCTGCCTCAAATACAGGTATAATTAAACTTTAACACACCTCAAATTATACAGGTACATGTGTAATCAAAACGTTCTGAAAGTTTGATAGGGGCGCTGCATTTCATTTCCGGAAATATGCATATCATTTCCGACATTTTTTAATTTCATTTCCGACATTTTTTGTTTTCATTTCCGACATTTTTTGTTTTCATTTCCGACATTATTTTGTTTTCATTTCCGGAATTTACCTGTGCGGCAATGCAATGTTTTTTAAGTAAGTAAAAATGGAATTTTAAAAAAGTATTTTTCCAAAATATTGATAAGAATTAAAATAAAAACATCTTCACATATATGCATATGTACATCTAGCGCTAAGTATAGGTAAAAGAGTTCAATGAGCATAAAACTTTTTGACCACATTTAATGTGCACTAAATTAAATGTCAGTGATGTCCAAGTCATTGATAGATTTACAAAACTCAGATATTGGATTTCAATGATTTATTTATGATTTTTCATCATTAAATTTTTCATAAATAAGGTCTTCAAATCTATTACTAGAAGTACTACATATGTATTTGAAAAATGTCGGAAATGAAAACAAAAAAATGTCGGAAATGAAAAGTTGATAATTACAAAAAATTCCGGAAATGAAATGCAGCCGGTAAGGCTTATTAACTTTTTAAATTTATATCATTATATTCTAAAATACATGGATTTGTAGACTAATAAGGGCATTTATACAAGTGTTTTCCTTATGTTTTTTCTTCTTTCTATTAAGTGCAAAATGAACAAATTCCTGTGTACTGGAAATAAAAAAAATCTTGGATAAGAACAGGTGCTTCCAGGAGGAACAATACCATGCATGGGAGGGGACTCGTATATATGCCCCCCCCCTTCCGACATCATGCAGGATTGAATGCTCTTTTAAATTAGATTGCAAGTTTGATACATGTATATATGAATAGAGGATATACCGAAATATTTTTTTTTCAGACAACCAGATCGCCACCTGATTTGGTAGGGTTGTTTGATCCGTTAACAAGAACGTGGTCTCTACACAAGACAAGCTCCAAGGTATAAGCCATATAGTTGTACTAAGTATAGATAAAAATTTAATTCAATTGGTTGTGTATAAGGTAGATTTCTGTGATTGATCTCAGGAACTTGGAAAACCTCAAAACATGTATACATTGCTATCATATTTACATCAGGCTACTACATTAATATCCTTATAATCAGAGAAACATGATGGCTTAAAGAGTTTATCTCTCTGTCTGGAAAAATATGTGGGTACTTAAAAAGAATATTCTTAATCAATATCCAGCATTCCTTTCCTGTGTCAAGAGCATCGGTTGCCATGGTGACAGGACACGACGGAATCTTTTTGTTTGGAGGATATGACCTTGATAGGTAATTCATTTTAAATAGTTCTGAATACATGTATTACCAAAAAGTTATACATGTTTATTTACTGAAATAGAAATCCTGATTCCAAATCAAATTTGCTCACACTTCATTGATTTACATGAAAAAATCTTAAAACTTGTGTAGATAGGAATCTATCTTAAAAGTTAGTTTTGACGATCAACGGAAGAAAACAAAGCGAGCACTGTTCTGTTGTCTATATTTTTAGTGGATCTTTGTTGGGAGATCTGTGGTTGCTACGTGGCGACGCCTACAATGCCCAGAACACGGATACAGTCGGCTGCTCCGGTTCCTTCACTAACTTCATTCTGGCCCACGGATGTCTAATGGTGATAGGGTGGGGGATATTTACCGTGTGGGGAGCCTTTATTGCTAGATACGCCAAATCATCAGGAAAGACCTGGTTTTATCTACACGTTATTTTACAAGTATGTTAAAAACTTTAACCTACTACTGTAAGAAAGAAATCGACATATGCATCAATCGCCACTAAAAAGTACAGTAGCACCTCATTAATTCGGACACTTGATTATCCGGACTCAAGATTGTTGGAGCATACTTGTTTCAGATACACAATGTGTTGTTGTTCCCAACAAATTTTGTCAGGAGTGTGAAACATCTGGATTATTGGCGTCTGCATTAACGAGTTCACGGTTTGACTGTAAACATGGTATCTTGTTTATCCTTTGTTTTGTTTTAGGTTACAGGTCAGCTGTGTAGCATAGCCGGATTCATCATGGCGGTGTTCTCTGTCCAGTTTCAACACTTTGGATTCGCTCATGGAATCATTGGCCTAGTGGTAGTGATACTGGGCATTCTTCAGCCAATCAATGCCGTATTGTAAGTTACTAATTATAACCCGAAGATATACATGTAGGATGAACATATTTGTTGTATATAATTTTTACTAAAGATATTTTATGCCTTTGATATTTTACTTTCAGTCGTCCCCTACGTCCGAAACCTTACTGTAGGAAATCATTCCGCCGCATTTTATGGGAATTTGTGCACCATTTTGGTGGAACGTCGGCCATTTTAATGGCTCTAGCTAACATATCTCTGGGTGTGTTCGTGGCGAATACTCGCTCAGTGGCATGGGTTGTCTGGTTTGTTTACTTAAGTATCGTTGTTGCTGTAATCTTTGTATCTCACGTCGCCCAGGAATGTCTAGAAAATAGGAGAAAGCCAAAGCAATTCTTTGAACTCGTCCGGGGATCAGATCAAAGCATTCATAACTACAAACCAAAAATGGCGGAAGGAAATGTGTAATAATGCATGCATATCTTTATTTACATGTTTGTTGGTTATTGTAATAAATAGAGCAATATAAACAGAATACTTTTTTTGTTTTTATCATTTTGTTTTTGTTGCTGAAGGTGCTCTACATTAAATGTTAACTAAAGCATTGGAAGAACCAGTTGAATTTCGTTATTATAATGCATTAATGGTGGTAGTATTACGAAGAACAAATGTGTCGGATGTGTTTGAGTGTCCATGTGACAAGGTGTCAAGCATTTTGTGGAGTATCTTTCCCAGTTGCCCCCGATCTTCCTCTCCTCGAATGATTCGGACCCCCAGGAGGAACACGAGACACGTGATCGTCACAAGGAGGATGGCTACGGCGAACAGGAGGGCGCGCGACTTTTGAGATGGTCCCTTGGAGAGAAGACGAGATAGGGTGACTGTGGACAAAAAACTGGCTCGTTCAGTAGAAACGGAAGAAGATGGTGTTCTTTTCTGATTTATAGAAGTTACGGTGTCATCTTGGAGTGACGTATCGCCTTTTCTACACGTAAAGAACATGTCTGACAAAAGAACACAAATCAAGATATAAGATAAATGCTCACATAAGTAGTATAAAATTTTTGATGTTTTGGCTATAATACTTTTGTTGATTCAAAAGCTATATTTCTTTTGAAAGACCTTCATCGAGTACCCAAAAAATTTTTACCTCTTGACCTTGACCATGGAGTTTGACCCATGTTTGCAAAAAAAATACCAAACTTAAACCTTAGCCATAACTTTAGAACAGTTTATACTAGTGCTTCATACTTCAAAAGTTTATTCATTGTGGCCTTTCAATGTTTAAATATTTTTGACCTTTTGACCATGACCTTAGAATTTGTCCCATTTTTAAACTTGAAACTTGGTAATAACTTTTGAACAGATAGATATAGGGATTTCACATTTAACATATGTATTCTTTCGGATATCAACAATTTTGATCTTTTGATTTTGTACTGCAGGGGCCTGGAGCATCAGTGTTTAACAAACATATGTTGTTGTAGCATATTCAAACCCCCCCCCCTCATTTGAATAGTTTCGCATTTATTTCTCCCTTTTCACATATTTCACCTAAGTTGTCATTCACTATAAAGGTCTGCCCCATTGTGCAGAGTCGAGACTTACTGTCTGTCTAGGAAAGAAAATCATGAGAGATAACACACTTGATAATTCTTACTTTTCTAAAGCTTGGGTTGCTTTTTAAGGATATCGTCTTGGGTACATTAAAATTGGCAGTGCATTGTGTTATATGACCTTGAAAAGGACTAAATGAATTTTGTGCAGTAAGTCAGTTGCATTAACAGATCCGATAAGTAACGCTCATTAATATGCTTGGGCCTGTGAATCATTTGAATGATATTTTTAGTAAAATTGTAGAGATATATACTTTGACCTCAGACATATACTGGTACATGTTACAGATGTCTGAGAGGGGCCATGACTGGTACACTTCTGAATTACAAATACATGTGTCCGGCCCGGAAACTCCGATGATGTACCAATGAATCTGACTCATGGATACTTGTAGGTTTTATAATCAACACTTGTAGTACATCTTGTCCGAAACAATAAATTAATATGATCTTGTTAAGTACATGTATTTTGTAAAATACATATTTCCATCGCTTATATTGCATGATGAATGCCATTCATATTAAATTAAATTCAAAACCAGAGAAACTTGTTGAAAGAATAGTTTTGTCCCAAAACAGTACTAGTACGAATTTTAATCATAGAAACAATGGACTTAAGTTTTAATTATCAATCTGAAAATTAATATTAAATTTCAACAAATCTTACCTGCGTGTATAGGTGTAGATCGAAATGATGATTCTAACCAATAAATTATTGTAGTTATTTCATTTGCTAAATTCGGATACGCTTTGATGTTTACTTTTATTTGATATTTCAATAATGAAAACAACCCCTATTTAATTATCGCAAAAATGCAAAGCAAAACAAAAACAAGATTATGAACGTACGATTTTTAAAAAAAAAAAAATGATTCCTAACATAATGTGAGATCCCTGTCATATAAATATAACTGACCAGTTTTTTAAACCCCAATTTTAAGTTAACTCCCCTAAAAACCTAAGTCAAGATCGACTTCCTACTTCGTACTTAACGACTTTTGTTCATTTCTTCTGATAAAACCTTTCCATTATACAATATTTTTACCGTAGCCTTGGAGTTTGACCAAATGAAAAAATAAACACAAATTTTCGAATAGTTGAGGCTAGGGCGTTTATATTTCACATGATTATTTCTTTGTGCACGTCTAGACTTTTCAGTGCGTGCAAACTATTTGTCCCTTTCGTTCTAAGTTTGGTCCACTTTTATAACATTTTTTTAACCTTGGACATATCTTTTAAATGGTTGTTGTTAGGGCGTTCCTATTTTACTGATGTATTTCTTGCGACAATACTTTTAGAGGTACCAATAATTATGACCCTCTGACCTTGACCTTGGAGTTTGCCGTACATGTGAAAAAAACTTCGCCATGACTTTTGAATGGTTGATGCATTTTACACAGGTGAATTCCTTGTGACAAAACCTTCTTTGGGTACCAAGATGATTTTGTTTTGACCTTGACCCTGGAGTTTGACTTCCATTTAGAAACTTTGTGCGAGGGACTTCAGTTTTTTTTTCCACGCCAGTGAATTATGAAATCTCAGTACCAAACGTTCAAAAATTATGGCTAAAGTAATTTTTTTTTCTCAAATGTAGTTCAAACTCAAAAGTCAAGATTAAAGGGTAGAAATTGTTGGTATCTACGGAAATTATTTCGCGGATGTTTATTGCCATGCAGGGTTCGAACCCAAGGGACACCACACCACGTTTTATAATAACATAATAATTAATGCTGATTTTTATTCTCATTTTTTTTTTTTTTTGAAATAATATTTTCATAATTTTTTATTTATGAAATTTTGATTTCTAAATATCAAATTCACAAACTGAATGTGATCTTTTTAAATATAAAGCTTTAGGCATTCTGAACGCCTTGTTCGCCCATATTCTTTGAAAAAAGTAGGAGCACAATAATGGTAGCAAAGACAATGCATTTCTTCTTTGATCTGAACTGACACTAAAGGGAAAAAATATTTATAGTCTATAATTTGTTAAATTCTTTGTGATTCAAAGAATCTGTATGTATGCAAACTTTTTAGAATTGATTTAATATCAATAACAATTTCTGGTGATTTAAAGTTTAAAAGGATGGTGATACGTGAATCTGTCGTTTGTACGTTTGATTGGTTGAAAATAAAGAAAAGTCGACGTCAGCTACGACCTGTATTAAGAATAATGTTCAGCATTGCTCTGCTCTCAATACAGTTTAATTCAATTTCATAACAGTTTCTAATCTCTAGGGGTACACTCTGTATTAAAGGGCGTACACACGGTAAGAATCTGTATCAACACTGAGTTATTAATACAAATCTTACCGTGTTCACTGGCCTTAAAGCAGGACATCCATTAACCAGACATTTATTTTATCAGAGACAAAAATAACAAATTGTTTATGTTTCTTTTGTAAGTTCATTGACCTTTTAACGTTTCCAGAGTAAATATATGTGAAAAGTTTGTTAGAGTTATGCCCCTTTATCGCAGACTTCCCGGGTCACTGCCGGGTCAGATCTGGTCAAGGTCAGAAGGGGTACATGTTGAAAGGTAAATGAACTAATAAGAGTAGAACGACCTTGCCGTAGTGGATATATATATATATACTGTATTAAATGAAATATAATACCTAAAACTTGCGGAAAAAAATTTATCGGCGTACGTATAATTCAAGGATTTCACATTGGATGATGGAATACAGATTCTGATCTGCATGTAACTTAGTTAGAATGATCTAACTGTGTCTCGGTACAAACCGGGTCTGTAAGACAATTTCATTTTAACGATAGAACGTTCTATCTACTTGTAACTCTCTGGTAAAGATACAGAACACTTTAGCTAAATATAAACACACCTATGCTATTTCGGCCCGTTCGACAATTAAGAAAAAATCGAGGTATAGAGGGAATTGATTCTAAATAGAATTATCTAATGCAAATATGTACTGTCAACATGGTCAATGCAGCCTTCACTTCTACGTTAGTATCTTAATTCAATCATGTTTTATCACTAAACAAACAAACAAGTTTGGATTCACTCCACCCACAAGATATGTCTGAGTTTGGCCTTGACCTTGGATTAGGATCTTGACACGACTTGATAACAATACACATGTACTTCTTGTTGAATCCTTTCGGAGCCTTGGCCCAGGACAAGTTGTGACAAAAAGGGAATCATTGTTTTGCTCTAAATATTTACCCACTCTGCTTCCGTTTAGCGTTTATTCTTTTTTTTTTTTGGGGGGGGGGGGACTTAAACACCAAATATCACTAAACATGCTAAAATACGATGCAAAATACATTTTAACGGACAAAATTTTATTAACGCAAGAAACATGCATCTTTATACATATTGCTTATACTAGTAATTGATACACACCAATGTATTGTTAGGTTGTGGGTTTTCGACACATTATAGCACAATGATTACATTTAATAATGAGAAATTTTATGCCCTCACTATTAAAGTTGAGGTGTAAAAAAATAGACATTTTTTATCTTGACCTTCCCTTTGACCTTGACCTCACTTATCTTAGTGTTCATCTCAATTTCAAAGAAACTTTTCAAGATTTTTAATCCAACTTTCTTTTGACCTTGAGATATCTTTCTTAAATGATTGATGATCTCAATTGGTTCAAAGAATCTTGATATTTTTATCATACCTTTACACTTATATACATATTGATCAGAACTCTTCAACTGCATCAGCCCTTTTGACCTTAACCTTTCATTTGATCTTGACCTTCTTTAAATACTAATAAACTTTATTTCAAAAAATTGATTTAAGATATTTTGATGAAACTTCATATGTTGATACATATTGGTAACAGAGTTTTCATGTTTAGCTAAAAGTCAAAGAAAGTTCTACTATTCAAGATATTTTTACAAAACTTAATCCTCATATATTCATAAAAAATCCATTGTCATCAACATTTCAATGATGAAGCAAGACATACTACATTACCCTTTTTCGACTATACTGCAACAAAAAGTTGGGGGGAGGGGAGTCCCCCCAATAATTGATTGATTGTATGTTGTTTAATGTCCCTCTCAAGTTTTTCACTTATATGGTGACGCCACTACTTGCCGGTGGAGAGCTACAAATTTTGTCCTATGCTCGGCACTTAGGGCCATTGTGCAGTGAGGGATCTTTTTTGTGCCAGCACCTACAGTGACACGGGACCTTGGTTTCTATGGTTTAATCTGAAGGACCGGTCTCCATGTCCACAGTGGGACTCAAACCGGTGACGTAAGGATCACCCTCCCCCCACCAATGCTCCATTCCTGAAATTCAAAAAGAACTTCATCCTCAAGAAAAGACCAAGTCTGACTCAAAACTGTGTTTTATTTCTCATACTTGTAATCAAAAAATAAATAAAGCTTCTCCTGTAACTTTTTTATGCATCATAGTACTTATTGCCAAAATGGAAAAAAAAAATTGTGTAACATGGCAAGATTATGTTAAACACATCTCATTCTGTCTCTTCAACATTTATCAACAGAGATCTCTCTCAGTTACAGAGGAACAATGTTGTGTTATGCGATTACTAGTACATGGATATAAATTTGGTTCTCCTGGTTTGGCTTGGATTTCACTGTGATTTGAACACCTCCTCACTGACATACTATTTACAGAAAAAAGCCCTGTATCAGTATCAGTCTTAAAAAAAATCATCTCAGCAAAACAAAAATCATTCTATAAATAACAAATATAGAAATGATTCAAACCAAACAACAGAATACTGAGAATGGCTCTAGTTAAAATAAAATAAAGCCACTTAAAAAAAAGTGTTGTAATGATCACTATTGCTAAAAGGTCTGCTTATATTATGATTACAAGTAAACCAGTAAAAAATGTGTTGAAAATATGATCACTATTTGTATTACTATTTGGTAAAGGTTTGTTTATATTATGATTACAAATAAAACAGAGTAGAAAAAAATTGTTTAAAGAACAGCGATGTCAAAATAATCCAACAAACTGCCTGGCAACAGTTTCAGTCCACAAAAACAAAATGTGAAGCCAATACACCAGTTGTCTGCCCTTTACCACGTCATGGCCCTAGAGTGCAATGAACTCAGGCGCATACCATTATATAAATTGAATAGCACTACCAAATGAGAAATAAAAACCGTGCCACAAGAAATGCATGACAACAACTACATATATATAAAAGATCACTTCTTTATGTGATGTAAAGTCTCTGTCCCTTTTCTTAGATGATAAACCAGCCAGGCGGAATGCATTTGTGTGACAGGGTAGGAACACAAATTGTCAAACCGATTCACTGTCAATCATGAATTAATATGACCTCAGTTGACATTAAGAGTACATTAAACAGAGAAAATATACAACATATTACAAAAGAAATATAAAAAATGGGGTCATAGTGAAAAGTGAACACAAAAATAATCCACACACAGAAAGCTAATAAGCAGAAAAGAAATAAGTTACTTTTAAACTACTTATCAGTAAGTGTAAAAACAAATAAACAAACAACACTTAACAAGAAAGTAATTAAAAAATCTTTTTTTTTTCTTTTTAAAAAAAAAATCATATTTTGTAGCAGAAAAAAATATTTAAAAAAAGCTCTGTTTGGAGTTTGTAAAAAAACATTTGTTCAAATAAGTTTGTAGAACATAAGTTATGTATACAGGATGAATATAAATAATTAATAACTGTTATGGGTATAATCTTAACAGATGCTTTTTAATAGAATACTAAGGAATCATTAGATTTCATGGTGGCTCAATTTTCATGCATTTCGTGGGTACCTCTCATTCAAGAAATAACATCCTCCGTGAATAAATAAAACAATTACAAAGTCACATTTCCTTTTGTGGTTAGCATACACAAAATTATGTTCCCAATCAAGAACCTGTAAAATTTAACGAATCCATGAAAATAAGCCCCATCGAATTTTAATGATTCCATAGTATACTTAAAGCTAGTCATCGATAATTAGTACATGTACATAAAGATACTTGTACTTGGAAAATACAATCTCAAGGGCCACTGCTCAGAGTGAAGTTAAGGATAATCCAAGATTGGAGTTCAGTATAAATTATTCTTCTAATACAAAGAAATTTAATATCTTGCATTATGCATATAATATAACACATCTTCATATGTGTAAACTTCATAACGAAGTTATTTAAAAAACAACTAGTGATCTATTTTGTATGTGTGAAGTTTAAAAATAGGACAATAGCATATAGTTCCAAGTACACTGAAACTGGCAGCCTGACATTATGTACATATCGGATATATATTGTACGATATTCTCATCAATACCACACAATATTCCTGTACATATCGGATATATATCATACGATATTCTCATCAATACCACACAATATTCCTGTACATATCGGATATATATCGTATGATATTCTCATCAATACCACACAATATTCCTGTACATATCGGATATATATCGTACGATATTCTCATCAATACCACACAATATTCCTGTACATATTGGATATATATCGTGCGATATTCTCATCAATACCACACAATATTCCTGTACATATCGGATATATATCGTATAGTGCTGTGCGATATTACCGGTTAACCGGTGTATCCCGATTTTTTTCTTCATACCACATATAAATTGTTATAAAAAGAGTTATTTGCCGTTTTCGAGGTAAAATATGGCTGCAAGCGACGTGAAGCGTGATCAGAAACGAGAGACATATCTCTGTCAGAAACGAAAAGACAACTGTTACATGAAACCCCTTCATGTTATAAATATTCGTCAAGTTGTGCCATAAAAAACTTAGCTTGCCACTTGCGCCGACACAACGCGACCAGGCAGTTGCAATATCTCGAGAATACATGTAATTTGATACCATTGATGAAAAGCAAAATTTATTCAATACAAAATATAATATTGCAATATATCGCGATACAATTTTTCAGTCGCGATACCCAGCTCTAATATCGTACGATATTCTCATCAATACCACACAATATTCCTGTACATACTGGATAAAGAATACCAAACAATATTCTTTTAAATACCACATAATATTCTTTTCGTGCATGCAATATTTTCACATACAGTATTACAGTGGAGCCTCATTTATCCGGACAGTTTGGTTACCAGTCAATTTGTCCGGATATGTGAAGCATCCGGATACCTGAATAACCAGTTAAACAAGACAACATTACATTTAAAAATTCTGTTCCGATAAAAAGTTGTCTGGATACTGAAGCATCCGAATACCTGGCGTCCGGATATCTGAAGGTCCACTGTATATGTCAAGTAATTAAGGAGCTATTAGGTATCAAAATATAGCACTATGACAGATGAAAACTATTATATAAAAAAATTTCAGAAACTAATAAAAAAAAAACAAAAACCAACTTATGGTAAATATAAATTAAC